GTTGGATCATCCCCCCCCCCCCCCACCCCCCCCCCCCCGCGTGAAAAATTCGGGAAATATTGATGCGGGATAAAAAAAAAACTTTGCCGCATCAATTATTTTAACAGCATAACACAATGCAAATTTGTGACTTCAGATACATTTCTTTAAAAAACTATAAAATTTAATCCAGTTTTTATACAATATTTATTATTACTAGCGAAATATAAACAGTCCCTCCCTCATCAATTAAAACAAAAGCGAAATAATCAATTGTTCGGATTAAAAAAATAATTAAAAAAAATACGCCCTCCCTCACCGTTTATTTTTTTTTAAAGAGTGATAATCTAATAATTTTTTCTATGTGTTCTTAGTAGCCATTGAACACAATGAAAAAGAAAAGGATTAACTTAGAAAATATTAAAGAAGACAGTTATACTTCATCACTGTGTCCCACTATAGCCAATTTGGCAACCATTGGACACAATGAAAAAGAATATGATTTTTTTTTTAAATATTAAACAAGATATTTATAGTTTATCACTGTGTCCCACTATAGTCAATTTAGGGCACATAGGAAAATATTATTAGATCACTATTTTTTTAAATCAGAACAACTGCTTCTTTTAATAGATGAGGGAGGGACTTTTTTATTTGGCAAGAATATTGTAAATATTGTATAAAAACAGGTTTAATTTTTATTGTTTTTTTTTTTTTATAGAGAAAACGTATTTCCAATCACAAAATTACATTGTTTTTTATGCTGTTGAACAAATGATGCGGCCAAGAAAAAGAAACATTTTTTTTTAAATTTCCGCATCAATATTTCCCAATTTTGTTGACACGGGCTGGAGTGATGATTTAATAATATTTTTTTTGTATAGGCATAATTATGATCTGTTCATTGTGCGTTCGATTTTGATAATAATAAGATTGATAGGAGCACTGTATGATCAATGTGCGCCAAAATAAATAGATGGTTAACATAAAAAGTATGATGCCTATAAAAGTATGAATACTGCTATTGTTTCTAAAATTTGGTGGAGTAATGTAGTTCATGTGGTTATCATTGGAAAGTTATTGATCTATTAGTAAATTCTATAATCTGGTTGTTGTACGCATATAGACATATTTTTTACATTTTTCATATTATTTTTTTATTCATGTTCTTTGCAATTCATGACAAAGTAAACTCAACCATACATATTCAAAAACAGAGCGACGAAAAGGACCTCCACGAAACTCTTAGGAGCTTTTAAAATGGAGACCCGGTGTTAAAATTAAAGTTTGTTTAGACATAAAGACAGTATATAACTGCCTAACTACAAAGATACACACCGTCTCACCCCAACAGTCATATATTATTTGATTTACATTTATTTTGAACATTGCCATTAGGACATTGTTTAAATCCACACTAGCCAGAGCCATTCATTCCCATTACATTATGGTCTTCCATTTCTATAGCGCATAATACAGTGCATGACAAACGTCACATAACCACTACTAATTCCACCTTAATTCGGAGTCACTCAGCTCAGTCTTACATGTGTAAATGTTCGTATTGACACTGTGTTTTTAGCATTGTTAAACGAATGGAAATATATTTATCTTAACTATTGTTTTCAGCAAAGTGGCGTATCTATATTTTAAAGAAGGGGGTGCTGATGTAATGAGAGTCCACATCACGTCAGTACCATCGTGGTTGGCGGTGACGCAAAAATTTCAGTATTTCATACCACTGGATGCCCCAAAATGGAACTTACATTACCTATTGTATGATGTTTTTGACAAATTGAGTAAAAAAAACCCCAATTAATTACTTAGGTATCCGAAAATGAAATTTAAGTACTTACTATTCTAAAAACTACCATATTCAACTGAGCTCCACCATGGTTGCGGCTCAGGTGAGAACATTTAGAGAAGTTGAGACTCGTTAGATGCACAAAAAAGCACTTGAATAGTACAAAATTTACGATATCCACCTGAGACCCACCATGGTTTTGGGGTGCAGATGAGTCAATTGCAAGAATTTGAGACTTTATAGATGCCCCAAAACAACACTCGGATACTTGAGGCTGAGGTAAAAAATTTTAAGAATTATAGACTTTTAGAGATGCAGGAAAATGGCAAATACATAAAAACAACAAAAATTACTATATCCACAAAAGCCTATCCCCATCATAGAGGTGAGAAAATGTTAAAAATTGGGGAATTTTGATGCCGGAAAATGGCAATGTCATACATAAAAACTAGGAAAATTACCATATCCACCTGAGCCCCGTCATGTTTGTGGCTGCATGAGATAAAGTTGGAGAATGGCACCTTAATACTTAAAATTTATGTTGGTTATTTTTTAACATTTGGAAAGGGGATGTCAACGGGACGCAACTGCCAAAAAACTTGGCAGCGAAAGGACGCTACCAATAAACAATCAACAAACTACCGGGTTTCTGGGTTGTTTTCCAAGGTACTACATGGCTGAACTGTTTTTTACTTTAGGGTTAATTGGTAAAAATCGCACATAAATCACACGACGTCACTGACAACGCCGGGGACGGCAACTCGATCTTGAGATTAATTTTCCGAATAAAGTTATACTAAATAACTTCTAATGACGAACTATTGTCTTCAATTGTCTTTGTTGGTCATTCAACTGTCATTTTATCTATTTTTTTGGTGATATTACTATTCTCTATAATCTATAAAACACCCACATAACAACGTCACGTTAGAACGATGGGTGGGGACGCCGTGGTGACTCCGGTAGGGTCAATTTTCGTCAGGTATCAAGATTATAAACAGTTTCATTGGACTAAATTCATGCTTAAGTTAACCACATGCTTACCTATTATACTGACACTGGTTTCAAATCACGGTCAAGTAGTTAAACATCACCTAAAAATCACCTTATTTTGCGAATTAGCTCCCCCTTAACTGATCATCGAGCCCCCACCCCTACCCACCATCGCCCCCATCAGCTCCCCGCCCCCCATTTCAAGACATCTAGATACACCACTGACTTACATGGCCAGATGAATGGAAATGCTCAATCGATGTGCCACCAAATTGTAACCAGCCTTCACCATGCCCTCACGATGTCACCGGGGACGCAACTGCCAAAAAACTATTTTTGGCAGCGAGGACGCTACCAATAAACAATCAACAAACTACCAGGCTTCTGGATTGATTTGCAAGGTACTACATGCTTCAACTATTTTTTTACTTAGGGGTTAATGTGGTAAAAATCGCACACAAATCATACGACGTCACTGACAACGTCGGGGACGGCAACTCGGTTTTCGGATTAATTTTCCGAATAAAGTTATACTAACTTCTAATGACAACCTATTTTCTTCAGTTGTCTTTGTTGGTCATTCAACTGTCGTTTTATCTATTTTTCCTGTGATATTTTCGTCGGAAGATGATAAACAAGTTTCATTAGACTAAATTCTTGCTTATGCCACTGCGGTGGGGTTCCAGGCAGCCACGGATATTTGACGAATTATGGCGAATTTTTATTGCTTATTTGATAGGCATCGAGCTACTATAATATGACTTCATGTAGGCTATGTTTTCTAATGTCGAAATCAGCTTCAAAAACCAAAACATTTTGAATAAAACAAGAAACAAAGAGTCTGCAATGCAACCATCTAATTTCCTTACAAATCTTCTTTTTTTAAAGTGAAATTCTATATTATTGAAATTTTGCACGAAATCTGTCAACCACGATGTCAAGGTCGAGGTTGCTTCCCTATCGCGATGTATTCCAAGCATCATGAGGCTATCCAAACGAGCATTTGTCCTAACAGAACGCAAAATATTTTAAATTAGTGTCATTGAACTATTATTATTATTATTATTATTATTATTATTATTTTCATGCCTATTATTATTAGGCCTAGTATTAAAACTGTCTCTTATACACATCTAGATGTGTATAAGAGACAGGTTTTACATATTTGAGTTCGCGGCTAGAGATTGCAGACATTATCATCCTAATCTAATCGCGAATATTGTGTGAAATCTGGATCCATATAAATGCCTACATGAAATTGATTGAAAGCTCAAAAAAGTTTAATAATGATATGTGGCCGAGTTGACATGTGGACGAGTTGACTTGTGGCCGAGCTGACTTGTGGCTGAGTTGACTGTGGCCGAGCTGACTTACAAACACAAAGCAAAAGGTGAAAAGAAAACATTGAAATTACTTTGTTGTTTCAGGACCACAGGCTCAGTATAATATTAATATTATCATCTTCAAAAACCATGATGATCACTTCCTTCCGTATAATGGATCACATAAGCTCGGGGCTAAGATCCGGAAATTTCTGGCTTCTCAGTGTCTTCTTGGCTAGCCTAGGTATTCCCTAGCCTAGCTAGGCCTAGGCCTAGACCCCTAGGTCGAGTAGTCTAAGATAAAAATATAGGCCTAGGCTAGGTGGTGTACTGTTTCTTTAGGTGACTAGGCTTTGTAAGGCTAGACTAGGGCGTACCTAGCTATTCAAGGCCTGGTTTCCTAAAGTAGAAAATAAGGCAAGAAGACTAGGTAAAGGCTTTCATAGTTTTTCATATATTTTGTTTGGATGTTGAAATGTTGACTGAGGAGCTCATAATATCTCTGAATGTACATGGCCTGTGTAGGCCTAGGCCCTAGCTAGCCTAGCTTGGCCTAGTTAACTTCACTACACTATTATTATTCTAGAACCACCTAAGAAGCTAGGCCTAGGTCTACTGTACCCAGAATGTATAGTGAGGCCTGCATGGGGAATATATCCTCTGCACAAAAAATATGGCCTAGAATCCATCAATCCACGAAAATTAGGCTTTGACCTAATCTTAATATATAAACAATGTATTATGAAGTAATTATGATTTTGCATGCACCTGTTTTCCTAGCAATTTTCAATGCAAAATTAAGCTGGTTTTTGAGGTGTCATCCTTGCAATTAAAAACATTTACTGTATGGTACTGTACTGTAGTTGTTAATCCAGCATTGCATTTTTTTTACCTACTTGCTATTTTCATGGTATTAATATTGCAATAGGCAAATGCAGCCAAGCCGGGTATGTCAAGACCAAATTCTTCAGTACCTGCCCAGCAAGATTTTAAGGAGTATGTTGTCCGTGTGCAAAGGTAATTTACCTGTACATTTAATGTTACACCAAAAGTCGTTTATCATCAGACATTTGACTCATTTGACTCAATCATTAACAAGGGTTAGGTGAGACTTTTTTATAAGTTGTTTACTAAACCTGCCACCCTCCAATAATGATGATTTTGAATAAAAATAAAATTATATTTTCGGCCAATTAGTGCCCCCGTCGTGAAAAATGGAAATTTCAAATAAAAATAAAAGTTTTTCTTTATTTTTATTATGCCCGCCGCTGTCTTGAAATCTCCAAAAATATGATAAGTATGTCTTTTCTTACGCAGTGCCTATGTTTACGCCGAGGCGTAAACATTAATCATTGGCGATGTCACATATTGTACGTCAAGGTGTAAGCACTTATATTTTTAGTTTACGCCAATGTGGCATACAAAGGCGATTCAGTAGCCTACGTCGAGGTGTGAGCATTGGCTATGTGTAGCCTAGGTCCACAAAGTTCTCCAAAAGAACAGATGTCATGATGAATTCAGGCAGGCATTACTACTAATATCAAGTCGAGAAAAGGGCTACGTATCATACCTAGGTACAGTACATAGTCCTTGTCTTGACCTAGTTTTTGCATACACTAGTCCCAGGCTTTTCTTTCCACCAACATGTACATATAGAACCACCATTGTCTGAGCCCATTGGTGGAGTGTCTGAAATCTGTGTGTGTGTGTGTGTGTGTGTGTGGAAGGCGGGGGGCATGTGACTGGCAAGACAAAAATTTGATGGGGATATATGCAGGGATGGCGCAGGAGGAGCTCAATGATCAGCTGAGGGGAGCTAATTTGCAAGGTGATTTATAACTACGTGACTGATTTTTGGGGAACGATTGGGGAGTGTGTGCAAGTAATTTTTGGAGGGGTGTGTGCCCCCGAGCATCCATTAGATACGCCACTGTTGCCACTTGTAATTGAACTTCAATATATATTGATATGTGGGAGTTTTTCCTGTTTTATTCTGATTATGGCAAGTTGAGTAAAATATTTTTGTATGCACATTTTGTATAAAAATTGTTCCAAAACCTTATACTACCTTTGATCACTTTCTTTCAGAAGAAAATCAGCAAGCACGAATCCAACACCATTTTATGAACATATATATACTTTTAAATTTCATTTCATTTAATCTTCTCATCAATATATACAAAAATAAAAATTATTTAAATATACTGTATGTTTGCTGGAATCCCTGCATATGAGATAGCCAGTGAATAATGCATATCAGGCCTACGCCTTGCGTTGCCGTAGCATCGGCGTAAACATAGCCTATGATTAATGTTTACGCCTCGGCATAAGCATAGACACTTCGTTTTTCTTAATTATATGGATTTAAAGCATTTAACCATCCAATTACTACATTGTTTACATTCACCAATAAAGTTTTAATTTTTATTTTATCCTTCATCTGGATGTTTTTGTCAAAACAATTTGCTAAATCGGAAAACAAAATTTTATTTTAATTTTTTTTCCGCCCTTCCGCTGACAGTCTTTAAAAATATAAGTTCGTGAAACAAAGTATTAAAAAAGTCTTGCCTTACTCTATAAAGCACTGAAAGATAATTCAAAGACTAGAATACAGTTTTATGGACTCACAATTTAATTTTTCTTCCAGCATCACTAAATCTTTAAATTTTGAAAAATACTGTACATGATACATAAAAATCTATTGGAAAGCATGCTGTTTATAGATTTGATAGTAATATAATATTGCTTGTTTTAATGAGGGAACTTAACTTTACATTAGTGTTATATGAAAGACATTTGTTCCAATGGATGTAGTGATGAAGCACCTTGGTAATTAGGACTATAACTGTAGCAAAAGTATCTCATAATTTTTGCAACTGGTAATAATGATTTTTGATATTTAATCTAATGTAAATATGATATGTGACAGTAAAAAAGACTTAAATTTTTTTTTTTCTGAACATATTAATTTGCTAGAAATGCTGATAAGGAGTACAGTGTAATGAAGTTTAATGCAGGTGATAATGTAGACTTCACCAAGTGGAAAAAGGTTAGCTATTATAATTTTATTTAAATATTTTCTTGTATAATTATTTAAAAGAACTATTTTGTAGTCTATATTCATGCTCCATAATATCATTTATTTTGCTAAAAATATTTATACAGTATTTATTAAATTATATAACAGATATAGCCCAGAGTAAAATATCATGTACTAAATATATTGATAATTAAATCAAACAAATTTGATAACTAGATTCAATAGTAAGATGCAGTATACACAATTTCAATAAATATTTTTTAAAAATTAAAAAAAATATTAAATAACATATAAAAATCTGAAATTATATTGTGTAACTTACAGTCTTGATTGTTGTTTCTTTAATCGTAAAACAATTGAAACTACAGCATTGTGATGTTGTGATGTATAGATTAATTTAGCAGCAATTTATTCATTTATTTACTTTGGATTTATTTTTCATTTATTTCTTTATTTCTGGTTTTCATGCATTAATTTATTCTTTATTTATTTATTCTGCAGGCTTGCCTAATTGATTTTTAATGAAAGAATGCTTTAAAGCATTTGTATTTTTCATTTGTCTATTTTGCTTAACCCTTTTTCATTTTCAATGACACATGCATTAAATTTATTTAAAAACTGCTTATAATAATATGTTTATATTACAATGTTATTCTATTTAATTTACTTTATTTTGTAATATAAATGATTTGATTTTGAAATAAAACCTTGAAATGAAATAAATGATAATGATAGTAATTTTTAACTTTTGGAGCACACAATAATAATGATAATAATAATAATAATACTCACCTGATCCAAGTTGTTATATTTTATGGTTAGTGACCTTTCAGACATGCAACATTAAGAATGGTGGCTGGGGTGGGTGGAGGCTTGGAGCCCCTATCTGCTTTGGCATGTTGAACCAAATAAGATATTGTTTTCTTGTTTTCTTATCCTGTATGCTTGGTGCAGACCTGACCTTCTCCCCTCCCCCTCCTTGTTTAGGTATGGCTAACTCCCTCCCCCTCCTTGTTTAGGTATGGCTAACTGATTCGGATGAAGCAATTCAGTTCAACATATACCCCTCCTTCAGCTTTCTAGCAAAACAGACCACCTCTGACAACCTCTGCCAACCCATTAATATGAATCATCTTTTTAAACTTCATCTCTTAATCAGGGCACCATGGTACGGGAGGATAACCTTACTGCTTTCAAGGAGCAAGACAGCATGCCAAAATTTGGTGAAGGCAGTGAGTATGGCAGAGAAAGAAGGGAAGAGGCAAGGAAAAAGAAGTATGGAATAGTAACAAAGAAATACAAAGAAGAGGACCAACCTTGGATACTTAAACAGCAGGAAAAAGGAGGAAAAAAGTAATGTATAGTTTCTGAGGATTTATGCATACTCCAGTGATTATGTTATTATATGACAGAGTTGATAATATCAATTATCACAATTAATAAGCTCCACTGGTTTTGCTGAAGGTCTGTTTTCTCAATAGATGTTTAAAATGTAATATAGTGTACAGTAGTTATATTAATATAGCACTTTATACCAAAATGGTCTCAAAGGGCTTGAAGTGTGGATCAGCTCCCCTAAGGTTCTCTTCATGCCTGATCTACCCGGTCGTAAACCGATACCAGCTACTCTCATATGTCCACAACATAACTTAAAAATTTTACAAGCATTGGTAGTTGTAACATTGTGTAACACCATGTTTTAAAAACAAAGTTCAGTTTCTGTGACTGAGCTTCACTCACCATATGAACATCTTTTTTAGGTTTTTTTATTTTAAGTAAGAAGATGCATTTATGAGTAAATGTAGTTGCCTGTTGGGATTTGTTTACATTATATCTAAAAGCTCTGGAATTGTTTTAGTGAATCTTGTCAAATATAGTTTGAAATTCAGGGTACTATAAAAAGATACTGTACTGTATAAATGCTTGTAACTGATAACTTCAATAGAAAGGTAGACTACAATGATACTTTCCACATATACACAGACCATTGTAAAGTCACAGTGCATTCTTACAGTATTCTTGTACTGTCATAGACAGCAAAGAATTACTATTCATGTGTAATGCACACTGGGATATTCAATACGGTGTCACTGTCATATTTTTTCTCTTTTTTCTGTTTAGGTATAAGGGCAGGAAGGAAGGGGGTATAAATGATAATGCAAGTCACTATATCTTCACACAAATGGCAGATGGATCTTTCTGTGCCTCGCCTGTTAAGTCTTGGTATAAATTTACTCCCATGGTGCAATATAAATATCTTAATGATGAGGAGGCTGAAGAGGAATTTGGAAGGTAAAAGATGTTTAATTCATTGATTTTATCTGGTTTTAGATGTATTTTTGTGTTTTTATAATGGATTTTTTTTTGTAATCTTTCTATACAAACCTATAAGTAGTATTTGCATAATATGCAGTCTCCTCCTCTTTGTAGAACTATTCCTAACTAACAGTATTAGATATTTCAGCGTAAACTATGTACAGTACATGTATCATACAGCATTTTATTCGAACCTATGTATATTCCTGGATGAAGAAAGAATGATGAGATGCCATGTCCAAGATTACAGGGGGAATGGACTTTAAATATAACCTTGACACTTTTGACCACTACAATGCCTACATTGGATCTGTCCACTTCAGCTGACCCCTATTGATTTGGACTCATGTTGCCAATTTTTGTTTGGAGCTGCCTCTTCCCTCCCTCCACCTGAAGTGAATACCTGGTTTTATAGTGGATTAATTTGCAGTGTAACTAGATTACTCCCCAGAAACACATTGTAGTTAAAAGCCAGCAAACTATAAAGTATCATTTTGCTTTACATTTTACAGGAGGGACAAGACGTTAAATTTCTTTTCAGTTATGGTAAAGAGACGTTTAAAAGACGAAGCTTCGTTAGAGGTGGAAAAAAGTGAAGAAAAACCTAAAGCACCAAGAAAAAAAGATTCCTTGGTAATTTACATTTATATTTTATAGAAATATTATGTTGAAAATTACTTTAAATATAATTTTGTCATCTACTTAAACAACTTGACCATGGATCCTTGCTTGAGACACATCATGATAAACCATTTTCCCTAAGCGTTTACTTAAAAATCAATTGACTAATTATTTTTTAAAATGATGATAATGTATGTTTTGCAATTATGGACACAAAAGATGCACTCCTGAAAAAATAATTAAGAATAATTTTTTTTTTTTTATGATAGCAAATAACTGAAGATGATGAGTACATTGGGTTTTTATCTGATGATGAATCCGATGATGATTCTGATGATCCAGAAGCAAGAGAAGCTAGAGGTATGAATACAGAATTACTACAGTCACTAAACGGTAGCATTCAAAAATTGTCTTGCTCATACAGTATGTAGAACAGTGGTGGATCCACGAATCCGCCACTGTAGAATGATTATAAAGTTTACCTGTATCTGTATATTATGGGTTAAATCAAGCATTTCCATTTTTAGAAAAGAAAGCTAAAAAGAAAGCAAAAAACTCAAAGAAACGAAGTAGAGTAAAGAAGAAGGATTGGGGAGAGGAAGCCGGGGAAGAAAGTGATGTAGATGATTATGATGACCAAGAAAAAGATTATCTGTCGGAAAAATCTAGGTAAAGTTACTTCATGCTACAGTGTATGCACCATGTTAAAACTGCAAAGAGAGACAAAATATAAAAAACATGTTTTTTTTTTTTTTTTTTATAAATAATTAACTTTACTTGTAAACTTCCTTGGGTTTATTCCTCAGTTCATTCAGTTGATATTGTTACTTTGTACTTTTTTCACTGTTTCTCTCTTTTTTAATATTTTGTTTGTATCTCTCTGAATGAACTGAAATGAAATGAAATAAAATATCTATAATTAATAAGCTTTAGAATGGTACACTGTATATAACTTACTGGGTTTATTAGTTTTCCTAATAATTATATATTAATTAATAATAAGCATCGGAAGCTAAAGTATCAGTAATAGCACTACTGATAAAGACAGCTTCAAACGTTACTGCACAAGTTGCATAGTTGAGGCAGTGGCGGCACTAGGGTGGGGAGTCAGGGGGCTGAAATTGCCTCCCTGTCGGACAGGCGTGGACCACGTTGACCAGCGCCATGACAAGGTTGTTGGGGGCGAACATATTAATATGCCTATCCAAATAACGTAATTTTGATTGCCAATCCCTAACTATTTATATTTGGCTCCTTAGTTTGGAACCCCTCGTCGGGGTTGTTGGACCGCTTGTCGGTACATTTCTGGAGCTAACACTGAGTTCACGCATGACTGAGCACATAGCAAACAGTTTTTTTTTTCCTCTTGTGTGGATTTCATCCACTTTTATTTCCAATTGAATACATTTTTCGAAAACATATTTAAAAAAGAATATTTAAAAACATGAATGGTGCACCATGCACCCAAGAATAAAATAAAATGGAGTCAGTCCAAAGCAGCTGACTAATACATTTTTTAACATTCATTGCAAATATACGCTTCATCTATCAATTATTATACACATTTCATTATATTTTCTGTTATACATTTTCTTAATACATTAGAATCACAATGAATTGTCATGAAGTAATTGCAAAGTCATGAAAATTGTCTTCCTTGTTACATACTTTTAACTTTCAGTTGTCAAATGTTAAAATTTTGTCAGATATTAGATAGTATATGAATGTGATACAATCAAAATATCAACTTCTGTTTGCCATCAGTGATGAAGAAGAAACAGTTGAATACAGGAAAGACGAAGAGCGAGGTCTGGATGAAGAAATAGAGGAGATTAATTTATCGAGTGATGAAGAGGTAGAAGAAGTAAAAGAACCAGATATTGAGGAATCAGAAAATAGAGAAAAAGATGAAAAAAATAAAGAAGGTGAGTGAAACTGAAAAGTCACATTTTGTAACTTTGTTGTAATTGGGTTACGTTGGCAACCAATCATCCGGTCTGTCATGTCACAGAGTGCAGGGTTGAACAGCGTAGTTGAACCATTCAATAGTCTAAAAGCATTTGTGGCAAAGACAAGCCAAACCAGTCACTCGTCGCAAAAATCAATTTTGAGTTATTAATAAAGTCTTAGAGAGTAAAATAATAGCTCTAAAATGGTAAAAAGATCATTCAAATCGGACATTTCCTTATCAAGTTACAAGCGTTTAAACATACAGCTGTTTAAAAAACAATATCTGAGAAATCGGCCTTCAAAGTTTATGATTTCAGGCATTTCTCATGCAGAAACTATCTTCAAATCCTTAAAAAGTATTGTTTTAACATTGAAAATGGGGAAAATAACAGCATAGAATGATGTATAGATATATAAAGGTTAATTTATTGCAATAAAATAGATTTTTTAAAATTTGACATTCCAGCATGTTTTGGCCTTTTTCTTTGAAACACGATTTGCGACGAGTGACTGGTTTGGCTTGTCTTTGCCACATTTTATGGTTTTACAGTGTCCTGTAAAACATTTCTAATTTTAGTAAATTGACAATTTTTAAATATGCAAATTAAATTTAAATTTTATTATTTTATACAGGATGTTCTGACTAATAATAATTTCAGACTGACTGCATTTAATAAAATTAAATTTGTATTTCAAATAAAAAAAAAAAGAAATTACTTCTTTGCGCTTTTGGATCAATATATGGTACCAGTTAACTAGTACTACTTACACAATTCTGTACATGTACTGGAACTTTGTGAGGTGGTCGTAAATGTAAATGCGAGATAGATATCTTGTTTATTTTTGCAACTGTGATTTTTCAAGATTAGCAGCACTTCCCTCATTGTCTTTGTATTTGTAAAAATGTTTTTCTGATTATTACTTACATTACTATTAATTACATTACTGATAATGATTTAACTTACATTGTCATCTTAGATGGAAGCAGTGCAAGCGGGTCTGATTCAGATGATAGCGATATTGATGACTCAAAGATCCAATCAGCAGTGTTCATGCAGGTAGGTCAGCTTAGGTCAAACATCAGAAATTTAATATGTAAATAAAGTAAATATTATGCCCTATTTGAGTAACTGAGCAGGACTGCCAGGGAACCATGGAAGTTCGGTATCACTCGATTTAGAGAATTTGACACAGTGGCGTAAGGTCCAAGGGCCCTCCTGCCTAAACCATTTTTGGATCCTATTGCATTGCATGGTGGGCACAATTTTTTTGTCTTTTCAGTGTTCATCATTCTTTTTACATGTTTATTGTCATTCAGTAAAATTTTGTTTTCATTTTTTCAGAATAAAAACCCAAGTCAGACTAAAAAAATTAGTGGGAAGTCTTCAAAAAGTTCAAGTCGTAACAGTAGCCGGCCAGGCACACCCTTTACTGGAGATAATAGCACCACAGCAACTTTGTCAGGGGTTGTGGGTCGACTACAGGAAAAAGGTCAGTTGACCCCTATGATAATGATGACAGTGAAGTATTGTGACACATGGCGTTGTATAACCCAAGATATTTGCAAGATATATGCAGTATTATATTCATTATTGTTTTAGTTATTTAATTACCAGAGAAAAGAAATAATAACTCCACCTGATATGACCTAAAAACTAAGACCTATACATTTTACTAAACATTTATTTTATTAGGTCAGTGGTTTCCAAACTTTTTGCATGTAATTTTCTTATATCTCCCATTTATTTTTAATTTTGTAAAATTTAGTTCCCACTCCTGATTCTTACATATACTAAACACCTTTACATAAAGCATACATAAAATCAAATGTAAAACAGATCACCAATAAAATATTGGAATTAAAATATAATGCTAGTTAAAAAAATTTACAGTGAAAGAAGACTATGCCTATTTCATTATTCATAAGGCACGATTAGAAAAATAATGGATTCATGAAAAATTGGTCTAAAAAGCCAGCGGACTCCAAAATTGTTCGTGAACCCCTAGATTTTTCGTGGACCCCCTGTGGACCTTTTGACCGCAGGTTGGGAGCCACTGTATTAGTTAGAGGCAGCATTCACATGAGGTTAAATAAGACTGTTCTGTGCATTACCAAATAGGTTTGTCAAGTAAAAGGCAAGGTGATGGTGGATCATCGTCTTCATCTTCACATACACCTGGGCCCCCTGCCAAGAAATCACGCACTGAGAGCCCAACGCCATTCAAAGGTCAACCAGGGTAAGTACACACGGTGAGATAGCCTCTCTCATGGGGATGATGAGGATGATGGTGATTTACTTTACTTTATTACCTCTGCCAACAAATGTTTTCGCCCCTGTTTATTTATTTATATGTTTATTTGTTTTATTTATTTATTTATCTATCTATATATCTGTTTATGTGTGAAGAGGTGTAACTGGCATTAATTTCACAGCGATACAAGTTGTCCGTACTAAACTTAACATCTTATTACCGGTCAAGCCATTTAGGTATCACTGCTGCACTGAATACATTTTTTTCATGGGGACAATATGTGTGGGAAATTTATAAATATGATGTTGGCAGAGGTATGCAATCTCAGAGCGCCCTCTACTCAAATACAATATAATAAATATAAAGAGATTAGAAATGAAAATTGCCAGATTAGACATAAAATGAGGCGTGTCACGGTGAAATGGTTATGGTGTCACACAGGCCAGTATTGAGTAAATGAGTTATAAAAATGGGAGCTAAAATCCAAATTTGTTTTTCACTAGAGATCAACAGTTTAATGTCTTATTAATTATGTCCCAAAGTATTAGTTCAGGAAGTAATCAACAAATCGTTTTATTTAAAGTTATTTTAATAGTTAAATATATTAAACAATGTATGCACAATTAACTTTGGAAGGCAATTACTCAAAATCATGTTTGTTTTGACTCAAAGAGTGCTGTACTTTCACTTTCCAATAACTTAGGCTTGAAATGTCCAATTTCAATGAATTACCTCTCATTTTAAAGATCACATACTCAGGTATCTGAAAATACCAATAACTTGAATTTCAATATTTGCTACAACTTAGCCATTTTGCCACAACATGCCTCAAATGACAACATTGTGATGGTGATAGTGATGTTGGTTTACCCTTTTGGTGGTGGTGTGTTTGTAAGGATGTTTTTGGTAGTGATGATGGTAAATGATGATTTTGATGGTGAATAAACAAGTGATGAATGTCATGGTGATAGTGATGTTGGTTTACCCTTTTGGTGGTGGTGTGTTTGTAAGGATGTTTTTGGTAGTGATGATGGTAAATAGTGATTTTGATGGTGAATAAACAAGGTGATGAATGTGATGGTGATAGTGATGTTGGTGTACCCTTTTGGTGGTGGTGTGTTTGTAAGGATGTTTTTGGTAGTGATGATGGTAAATGAAGATTTTGATGGTGTATAAACAAGGTAATGAATGTGATGGTGATAGTGATGTTGGTTCCCCCATAGTGGTGGTGTGTTTGTAAGGATGTTTTTGGTAGTGATGATGGTAAATGGTGATTTTGATGGTGAATAAACAAGGTGATGAATGTGATGGTGGTAGTGATGTTGGTTTACCCTTTTGGTGGTGGTGTGTTTGTAAGGATGTTTTTGGTAGTGATGATGGTAAATGAAGATTTTGATGGTGAATAAAAAGGTGATGAGTGTGGTGGTGATAGTTCTGGGGTGATAATTAAAGTGAGAATAATGTTGCCACATTAAAAGTGATTAATTATTATTGACTAAATTTTTGATGATCTTTTATTTTAACATCTACAGTGAGGTCCGCATCACAGAGGATGTTGTAAGAAGGTACTTGATGAGGAAACCCATGACAACGAAGGACCTTCTGCACAAATTGAACCCGAAAAGGACGGGAATGTCGCCTGCTGATATTGTTGCACGTCTAACAGAAGTCATGTCAAAGTTGAATCTGAAGAAGGAGGTGATTAAAGACAAAGTGTACTGGTCAATGAAGGCTACATGAACTCGTTTTTAAGCACTGGAGTGATGTAATCATGTGAATGCTGCCCTCTGTTGATAGCTTGAAGCACCTCATGTAAATGCTGCCCTCTGTTGATAACATGAAGCACCTCTCAGGTGTTTTGCAATAGCTATGCATAATAGAGTTAGTCGTCACGATTTTGTTAACTAATTAATTGATGATGGAAATAAACCTGGAAATAGCGCAGATAATTACTGCATTGGATGATAAGGGCATCATTTTTTATGACAAACTTATTTTAATTTTATACGTTTTAACACATTAACAGACAAGGATGTGATAGACAAGTACACATCAGTGTGTTGCTAAGGGCATCATGATGAGTATGCTCGTTAAAAAATGACCACTTTTGTATTATATGTTAATTTGCTGGCGTACCTGACCAACCACTCACTTATCACAGTTTAGGGAAGATACATTTAAAAATAAACATCATGTTTGTTTGTGTCTCACTATGTTGATGGGAAATATGACCATATGGTGCACTTTCACTCATCAGTAATCACATTTTAAAGAGGATTAAAACATGAAGTAAACAATAGAACTGCAATGAAATATGTGGTTAAACTTTTTGGAAGAATATGTGTTATTCTGAAATAGATAAATATAATTCAGAATGAGCATTAAGTATTATTTGGTGTTAGCAAAAAATAAATTGCCCAATGCCAGACGCTAGTTTTCTCGTCCATAGTATTTTCCTTCTGTGTAATTAAAATTTAAAAATGGTTCATGAATAGATAAAATTTGACAATCATGTATTTGGTAATCTTATGATATCAGAATAATTTAGTATGCACAAAAAGAATACTTGATAGCGTAAGTGTCCAGGGGTGGCGATAACTTTTCTTGGACAAGAGCAAGAGGTTCCCAACATTTGGGTCCCTGGCAAGGGTGTAAGTAGGCACAGCCCAGAGCCAGTTGCATAGTGTACAGAGAATTACAAAGGCTTATTTGATTTTTTTTGAGTCCTAAAACTGTAGAAATTACATAGACATTGTTTTCTCTCCAACAATGTGTTGTTTTTCTCCTTGACGCGGAGGTGGGAGTGGGCCAGCTGTCTCCGACATGGGGACATCTTCCCGGAGCCCACTGGCGTCACTCCTGATAGTGACGAGACACAGAAGCTAATGGTGTGGCATGTAAGTGGATTTATTGCTTCAACATGTGAACTGGCTATCTAGTAATATAACTGTACCAATTCGAGTCAACATAAGCCTTTTGTATTTTTAATTAAATATTACTGGTACGTATACATGCCAGCTCAACTGTGGTATGCAATAAACAATAAAACTTTTGAAAAAGTGTTCAACAATATTTACTGGGTTTTAAAAAAAAATAATAAAATAAATTAAAAAAATGATTCGAAAAAAAAATTCGAAAGAATTCGAACCCAAGCATTTAGTTGCTTTAACCACAGAATGATGATAAGTTTTTTTTAAATTATTATAGTTAGTATTAGCCGAGATTCATACAAAAAGCTGCTACGTAAAAGAGGTCAATTTCGGAGAAAAAAAAAATGCAACTGCTACGAAAAGAGAGGTCAATTTTAGAAAAAAAAAAAGCGCAAAGGGTGTATGTAGATCATCAGGCGCGGATCCAGCGTGTGGGGGGGGGCGCCATCCCCCCAACTCCGTCACTCAAGCCGAAAAATAAAAGAATCGTCCAAAATTCGACATACACCATGAGCAGGGACACCATGAGCAGGGGCGGATACAGAGATTTTCTGACGGGGGCACAATATGAAGTTCATCGCCGCCACGCCCACCTAGTTTGATAAAAATAAGTGGGAAATAATCGAGTTCTTCTTTCGCCCACTGCTGTATCGCCACTGAAATCATGGGTGCACTCCGTTTTTTGCTCTTTCCTCTCTTTAAATCAAATTTGTTATCCTCATTTTATTTAAAATGGAAATTAATGGAATATTATGGAATGGATTATTATTATTATTATTATTATTATTATTATTATTATTATTATTCATATCCCCCAATAGGGATCCTCGGCTCCCGTTGGGCAAATTCTTGTGCCACCTCTCAAACTATATTTAGGCAAAGATAAACTAAAACAATAATTACATACACATTCACAAAAGTATAGTGTAGCCCAAGAGAATGAATTATTCTTTCTTTTATTGAATGTTCTTCTGGAAATTAAATCCCACTTTAGTAGTATGTTTTATCTCCTTTTTAAATCACCATTTACACATGTAATTAATTAGGATCGATCCTATTCCTCAATCATCTACATCAACAGTTGGATACTGAAATACACAGGTTTAATATTTAATACTAATGAATTTAATGAGGATGTGATATTATGAGTGTTGGTACAGTACCGTACGTATAGTCTTGTGTCCATTCACCTTGGTCATTAAATGTCTATGTCTATAGAATAAACTTGATATTTTTGATGACGG